TTCAGGAGGCGTGAAGGGTCTCGACCCACCAACTCAGGCTGTGCCCACGGAAGCTAACGGCATAGGCCGGGTGCCCAGAACTTGCACTCCAGAGAGAAGGGGATTTCAGCATGCACGCTGCACCTGCTAACCCAAGTGTGCAGCTTTTTAAACCCCTCTTGTGGGAGTTTACCTAAACGTTAAGATTGGTTGGTCCGCGTCAGCTGGGGTTCGGTGCGCGACAGTGGCGCGTCAACAGCATGATAGAAGGTTTTTGAACACCGCACAAGCCGGCTCCGCTCTCCGTGAAAATGCAATGGGCCGCATCCCTTTTGGCTCATGGCCCACCCAAGCAATCCTTGCGAGGCGAGAAGGAGAAGCCAAAGCGCCGGAAGCGCAGGCAGAAGCCTGCCGAACAAGAGGCCGAGCCTTGTTCCGGGTCGCAGCACAGTGAACGGAAGCATGCGCCCTGAGATGCTTGCGGACTTGCGGAGAGGGATAATAAGGATAAGTACTCATGTGAAGCCGTGGCCTGGCTACAGGCTTGCAGAGGGACACTGGACATTGCACAGAACTGGCCCCTCCACAGGCAGAGGCTCCTCCGAACGAAAAGCCTGCTGAGGTGCCGGTGCTGCCTGTCTGCCTGTTGGCCAGAGCTGCTGGCTTTTGTAATCTTGTACCTGTCGCGATTCGCAAGCAGTGCTAGTGCTGCTGACGACTTTGCATGCGAGATATCGGATGTCGATTCGCTTCGAGTCTGTCTTCTACGAACTCGGCAGTAGCTGCATGTTTGGACTTGGCGCAGAGTTCATGCGGCTCTACTCATTGTGCTGCTGATCACGGCACAATGTCACATAGGTTTCTTTGGACATGCTGTTGAAGCCACTTCAAAGCACAAAAAAGCAGAACTCTCTGGAAATCATACAACGTCTTCGGGCATCGAAGGCGGAGTTTCAACTAGTCCAACAAGCTTCCAGTCTAGTTAAAGCTGTGCCGACTGTGTTCGCGCAGTTCTGTCGCGCCTGAAGCCTTCACAACATTGACTGCAAGTTTCAAGATGCCATAACGGAGCCTCAAACCGAATCCAACCTGTCCCAACGCCTTGAATCAATCTGGATCCCCCTTGCCGCTTGCATCGAGGCATCCGTGCACCGTGCCGCCACTGCAGATCAAGTCGCCAAGCCATGATTTTGCGGATTCTTGCGTCAAATGTGCTCGAGCATTTTGGTGCACAAGAGTGCATGGATTGTGCACGGTTATTGCTACCTTCAGTAGCCGCTGAGTGGCCCTCGAAGTTTCCCAGAACCATTCAAAGAGTATCCAAGCCTTTCTAGCATTCACACAGTTTCCTGAGTTTCCAAGTCTCAGATGTGCGATGTAGCCGTAGATGGGTGGCAGAAGTCGGCTGGGGGGAGTCCGGAGGGGTTCGAATCAGGCTCTCTGAAGGGGGGTGAACAGGATCGACTCGTTTTTGTCAGGCTCTGTTCCCCGGTTCCACCTGCATAATCGGCCAATTCTTGCGTCCCGCCTCGGCCCGCGGCAACAACACCAACAACAACAATAACACAGCAATAGCAGCAGCAACAGCAACAGTCTCATTTGGCGATTTCGGTTCATCATGATTACATCTTGAACACACCCGGTGTCTCGTTTCATCATAGATCCCAAACACACCCCCTCCTTTGGCCATTCCCGTTCATCATATATCTTAAACACACCCCTCAGGTGGCGATTCCGGGTCATCATGAAGCATATACAAAACACCGCCCCTCGAATGGCGATCTCGGCTCCTCATACAACTCATACATCTTCAACACGCCTCCTCAATTGGCGACTCCGGTTAATCATATATCCTCATTGGGATCTCGGTTCATCATAGATCTGAAGGACCCCCCCCCTCATTTAGCGATTCCGGTCCGTCACACACGCCCCCTGTTGTATTTGGCGATCTATATCTTCAACAGGCCCCCTCAATTGGCGATCTCGGTTCACTATAAACATGCTACTGCATTTGGCAATTCCTACTCATCTGTCTTAAAACCCCCGCCCCCCTTCCTTTGGCCCTCCTTTGGCGATCTCGGTTCAGCATCTATCGTAGACACACACCCGCGATTTTGTTCATGACGCAGAAGATCTGAAACATCCCCCCAATCTGCGATCCCGACTCATCATATTCCTGAAATAGCCCCCCTCAGTTGCCGATTTGGGTTACATAGATCTTAAACACGGCCCCTCCTTTGGCGGTTCCGGTTCGTCATATATCTGTAATACGCCCGCTCATTTGGCAATTTCGGTCCATCATATATCTTGAACACGACCCCTCCTTTGGCGATTCCGGTTCATAGAAGAACTTAAACACGCCAGCTCATTTGACAGTTCCGGGTGATCATACGAAATAAATGCGCACCCTGATCTGGCGATTCCGGTTCATCATATATCTGAAACGTGGCCCGTCATTTGGTCTGGTTCATCCTATATCTTAAACACGCTCTCTCGGTTTGTCGTAGATCTTAAACTCACCCCTCATTTGGAGATTCCGGTTCATCAGATATCTTTGAAACGCGCATCAACCCCTCAACAACAGGCATAATGCAGCTGCCCCCATGCAAACATCATTTGCTTGTTGCTGATACAGTGTTGGTACTCTCGTTGGACATGATACGCTGTCTGCACAGTTCGGGGAACGCTGCAACACTACGCATAGTTAAAATGTCTGAAAAGATGGTGAAAGACCGAAACAACATAGCTCCAATGTTCTGCACTGTGCCTTTTCGGTCGTGAAATCATCAAACTTTCACTCCTCTCTAAAGGCCCGTGACAAGCGGGCGGGCCTTAGCACCCGGGGGGCTTAACTCACCCATTAAGCCTGGGAGAAGAAGAGCGGACAGGAGAGAGCGGAGAGCAAAAGAGAAAGAAAGGGACAGACGAAAACAGAGACAGAGATGAAATGCTACGTTTTCCGGCAGACCGCGCAGTTTGCCGACTCGACCCTTTTCTGTTAGCGACTCGGCTGTCCTGTTTTCGGACTCGGCCTGGCATCATTTCCGACTCGACTGACGCGTTTTCCGACTCGTTGTTTCTGATTTGGCTCCCACCCAGAACAAAAGCATAGAAGTGGCGGAAACGGCGAAGCACAGATAACTTGGCTTCACCCCGAACGGTGCATTGGTCAGGAAGCCAGTAGAACGACACGACTGGGATTTATCAGGTTTCCCATCTTCGGCCAGAAAGAATCTTCCATGTTGGCAAAACATGAGTGTTAAGTGGACAGGGTATGATCATGGAACGGGAACTGTGCGGATCGCATGCATGCAGTTGTGGTGGTGCGACAGCACCCAGCTGTGCACTGAAGGCTCCCATGGTAGTGTTGAAACTTGTTATACTTGCACAAGCTGACCTGGACATCTCACCTCTGTCGAGGTCTCCTTTTGAAAGTTGCAGAAGAGCATGATCTGCCAGTGCCGATGAGAGTGTTCATGTGAGATCTGTCAATGCCGATGGAAGTTTACGTGTGTGACCGTGACTTAATGTTGTGGCTTCAAGGGAGGCTACGAAAGAAAGCCCTTGAGCTTGTCTGTGATGTAAAGCATAGCAATCACAACAGAGAAGCAGCATTGTACACCCAAGCGTCTCAGAGATTGCAGATCACAGCGTACGTTGCTTGTTTGGAGAAAAAGGTAGCTTTTCGCGCCCGGGCATGGTCGTTTACTGAGCCGTTGAGCTGAGCCAGAGATTACCGAAACTGCATTTTGCAGTTTTCTAGGTTATGGGCGCCTAAGATGCTCAGGCTGCGTTACCGAATGGTGTGGGGACGTCGGAGGTGCCTATGCCATCTAGCTCAGTGAGGGCGAAAGCAGAAAGTGTAACTGGTCCAGTGGCGAAGCCAAGTGGATCGGTCCCGCAGCAGCAGGATCGGGAGATGGGGCCTTCTGAGGCGGCGTCTTCTGGGATGCGGAACATGGATGCTGGAAGTACGCGACCAGTCTTGGAGACCACAGCTAAGGCGGCGCAGGGAGAACGCAATGTAGTTCTTACGACACCAGACCTGGGTGGGCGATCTGAGCTGGATATGAGCACGCCAGTACCACAAGCTGCGGAGAATGGTGGGGGTTTTGCAACCCCAAAGTCAGTGGCAAGTGTGAGGACTGTGGTGCAACCTGCATGGCTAGCTGGAGCTGAGGTTCCGAAGTGGGTTTCCAGACTGGGAAGCTTTCTGCAGCCGGGTGCATCGACTTTGCAAGCAAGTGATCTGGCTCCCAGCCCGTTCCCTGGAGGGAGCCCGGCATACGCTTCCCAGGCCTTTCGGCTTAGGTCTCCGGCGAGGACCAGAGCCATACCGGCGCCGTCGTCGTCTTCGATACCAGCGGAGGCCATACAGGCGGAGGTGCAACGCCAGCTCCAAGGAATCATGGGTCAGCTTCGTGAGTTCGGAGACGAAAATCAGCGCTTGAGACATGAACTGGCAGATGCAAGGGGCCAGTTAAGGGATGAGCAAAACCGCTACATACTGGAAGAGCACACAATGGTTCAGCCCCGGGGACTATTGGGAGATCTATCGTATGCTTCAATGGATCCGGGACGATTGCATGGTCAGCCAGTACCTCCTGAGCATATCCCACTACCTCGGCTAGACTCTAAAGAACTTAGGAGCTCAAGTGTACCAGATGGAGCCGATCAGGACTTACCACATCGTCACCAAGGAGCTCAAGGTCCATGGAGAGTCGGGGTGATCCAGGCAGTGTTCCTCGAGGGCACGGACGGGGCAGTGTTGGAGAGTTTGGGTGTTTCAGCCAAAAGGCTCCGATGATGCTCCAGGGCTACTTCGATCCTGGTGGGAGGGAAGGGGCCGAAATCCCACTCCTCCACCACGGCAGGAGGCACAGGATTCTCCAGGATCCCCTGTCTTAGAAGCGTTGGCCAAGGGTGTGCAACAACTACAAGAACTACAAGCACAGGCTTTGTCGAAGGCAACCCTTACTACGGCTGGTGCAGACGTGGTGAAACCAGGAACAGTGACCCTGATGACGGGAGCAGACTCTGCGGTGACGTTCCAGGACTGGGTTGAGGTTTCGTCTTCGGTTATGGGAGATTTAAGTGAGTCGAGCTCTATCTGGTGGAAGGGCGTCGTGGACCTGGTTCAGTCTACTTATGAGAGGTGGTTAGCGGCATCGCCTTTGGAACGAATAGGAATTGAACCTCAAGGAAGTGAGCAATGGACGTCAGGACGTTGGCTGCGAGTGAATGCGAGGGCTTCGACAATGCTTCTCGCGTCCATGCCTGAAGATCTTCGAGTGGACATTGTGTCACGGAGACTTACACAGGACTGTGTGCGCATGCTCTTCAGGACCTTCACCTTCTACCAGCCCGGGGGCAGTGCTGAGCGCCAAGATGTGCTAAAGAGATTGCAAAGCCCTGGGGAATATGCAGGAGGAGAGTCTCTGGAAGCAGCTTTGAAGGCAGTGAGGGCATGGCCACGATGGCTAAAGAGGTGTCGGGCAGTGAAAATGGCACCCCCTGATGCGTCAGTGCTGGCACGAGGACTTCTGAACCTGACGGACAAGCACATAAATCTGTCAGCTGACGCAGCGTTCAGGACTTCCGTGTTGCGGATTACGTTGAGGTTGGATTCGTGTCCAACTACAGAGCAAGTTCAGGCATACCAGCGCCACCTGCAAGCAGAGCTGGAAGCGATGATGACGCCTAAGAGCTCTACGGTGGAACCGGTCTTGCAACCGAAGGCGAGGGATGCAAGTGTGAAGACCTCTGGAAGCGAGTTTTGCAAGTACTTTGCGAAGGCAGGAGGTTGCCGTCGTGGGGAAAAGTGCAGCTACAGCCACAGCATGGTGGGAATTGATAAAGAAACCCGTTCCAAAAAGTGCCTTAAGTGCGGGGCAGAATCCCACAGGCAGAAAGACTGCCCAGTGGGACAGCCAAGTCCCAAGACTACGGGAGGAGCTCCGAGGAGTTCTGGATCTACTACGTCACCAGTGAGCACTATGGCAACTGTGGCTACCACAAGCAGGTCGTGCAGGCGCAGAATGTGGAGCCGAGTGGGGATTCGTCACCAGAGAAGACGCGACCGACCATGAAGGTTCTGAGGTTGAAGGACCTTCGAGTGTGTTCGATGAGGGGAACTACAACAGCCCTGGTGGACTCCGGGGCAACGCATAGTTTGAGGACGGCCAAGTCCCCAGAGGAGTGGATGGAGGCCGAGGAGGTGTCAGTCCAGTTGGCGGGCAGTCACCAGCTAACTATGAGGCTGTCGCGTACCGGTACATTGTTGATGCCGTACAAGAAAAAGGTGATCAAGACCGAGGAGGACGGGGATGTGAAGGCACAGACAATGGGCCAGCTTATTCAATCGCTTGGCTACAGTGGCTACAGCATGACGTGGACACCAGAGGTGTGCTATTTGACGGCCCCAGATGGTGCACGGTTGTCAATGAGGACGGAGTCGGGTTGTCCAGAGATCTCCGAGCTAGAAGCTCTCACGTTGATTGCTAGGCTAGAGGACCGCAAGTTGGACCTTCTGAACAATGAGGTGTTGGCTACGTCAGACAAGTTGAACGTTTCGGCCTTAGCAATGGAGCGTCGCTGGAACCACTACCTCTACGACCATGTGGCTAAGGGGAACTTTGAATCAGGCCTACGTGTGGTGCGAGATGCGCCGTTCTTCGCTGACCTTCCTGGAGAATGCCTCTCGGAGTTGATCCCTTCGGCGGGATTGTGGTCTGGATGGAACATTATGAAGCAAGTGGGGTTCTTGTCCAGGCCCCAACGAAGGAAGTTGTGGTCATCTAAGCGCTGGGTTGTGCGTGTGTTTGCGGGCACAACGGGGCACTGGGAGTTCTTCAAGCTTGACCAGAACGACACCAGTGTCATTGAGCTAGATGTCAATCGCTGCGCTGGTCACAACTTGATGAGAAGCGAAGTTTGGAGGATGTTGCTTTGGGGAGCCAGAGAAGGAAAAGTTGATGTAGTGATGGGAGCTCCTCCAGGCCGCTCCTGTGAATACTCTGGCAAAGGGCAGCGCGACTTGAAGGATGTGAAGCTCGTGGCTAGAATGATGTGGCTCTACGTGGTCGCTCAGGTGGGGCGGGAGCTCAATGGGTCAGGCTCTACAAAAGATCGGGACGTGGGCTTTGTGCTAGAGTACCCGGAGGGCATCACCCAAGAGGAGCGAGAAACCCGGCGGCAACGCGTGGAAGCAGCGGACCGAGAGTACCGAACCTTAGATGAGCGTGGGGGCCCAGCTTCATGGTCCCAAACAGCGTCCTACTGGGAAAGTGTGCAGCGACCACGATGGGAGGAGTTTGCGGGTGTCCACACGCTTGATGCGAAGGCCAGCTTCTGGGATACAAGGTTGTGGAAAAGCTTTCAGCGTGAAGGAGAGCTTCGCACGGTGTCCTTCGATCAAGGGGCAATGGGCGGAGCTACGAGGAACCGGACTACGTTGGGAACGAACTTGAATAACCTGATGTCGTTGGATGGAGTTCGAGTACCAGAAGGTGATCCTCTTCCTGATCGTGGTGTACATGATCATGTGTGGGCTCCAGGGTTGGTGCGTGCATTGGTGGTTGCCTTGAGCTTTTGGGATCGGGACCCTCGATGTGCTCCTCGGATGTGTGCTATGACACCGGCACGGTGGAAGGAGCACGTGGATTCGAATCATGCTACGTATAGGAAAGATTGTGCAACATGTGCGATGGGCAGAGGCCTAGGACGACAGCACCGCCGTGTACACCACCCCGAATCCTACGTGCTGACCGCAGATGTGGCAGGACCGTTGAGCCCAGGACTAGATTCTACATCTAAGGGGGCGATGGGAAAGAACCTCAAGTACCTGTTGGTTGCGAAGTATTTGGTACCTAAGGAGTTCGTGGTCAACTACGCAGAAACTGAACCCCCTGGTGATCATGGAGTACCAGCAGGAGAGCCTGAGCATAGTGATAAGGTTGAGGGAGTTCTTTGCCGAGTCAAAAGGTCAGGAGGAGGTCCCAGCAGCTACCGTACAGTTTGTTCCAGAAGGTTTACCTGAAGAAGACCAGCTAGACTATGAGCTCTCTGAACCAGGAGGTCCGGAGGATGAGGGCCGCGAACAAGATGGTGATGATCACGAAGAACCCGGAGGGCAGGACGCAGTGATGATGGGTGGTGAATGTCATCCTCCAGAAATGACCTTCCTGACGTTTGCAGTTGCCCTACCACACAACCAGTCTAGCTCTGTGAAAAGGGCACTACAGGATATCGTGCTGTACTTGCAGATGCATGGGTTTCCAGTGTATCGTTTTCACGGGGACAAGGGCGAGTTCTTCAATCACCAGTTCAGATCGTGGTTGCGTGACCAGGGTGTGTTTGGAACATGGTCGGAACCAAGTGTGCCACAGAGCAATGGACATGCGGAAAGCACAGTGCGATGGATAAAGGACAGAACGCGCACGTTTCTGAGAGCAGCGTCGTTGCAAGTGAGGCTTTGGCCAGTTGCGGCAGCTATGGTCGCAGCAGAGCAGCGGGGCAAAGTGCTAGGGTGGCAACCACGCCTAGCGGCGCCTTTTGGTGCGCCAGTTTACATCCGGAAGAAGGCCTTTGACAAGGCGGGACCTCTCCGGAGAGAGCGTGGGCTTGAAAGCAAGTGGATGGTGGGAAAGTACATGGGGCTTAGCACCATCGTCCATAACGGCCACCTTGTCTACGTGGAGGCCCAAGAAGGCGAGCGGGAGAAGTTCTTACATACGTTGCATGTGAAGGCAGCTCTAACAGAGCCTGGTGGTCCAGTCGACAACTACCGGGTGGATGATCCGCCAAAGCCCCGAAGGAGAGTTGTAGAGAAAAACCGGCCCAGTGGTGTTGAAATGAGGGCCTTGGCAAAAGACCCGGAGGAGCTCTACAAGATGATAAAAAGGAGGTTATCAGATCTCCTGAACAATTGGTGCACTTCGGCAGCTTTGGAATTAATTGAGCGTTTGGCCGAAGAGGGGTTCTTTGAGGCAAGGAAGTTCGGTGTTTATCGACATGGAGGCATTGTGGGATGGTTGGACGGTGTGAAGGAATTCCCAGAGTTGACCCAGGTGATGACTAAGTTGGTTGTCGAACTGGAGCCAGAGGCAGTGTTCACGTCGGCGATGGTTTCCTATAATGCCCAACGGGAGATGCACAAGGACTTCAACAACGATTACCAGACCCAGAACTATGTGATCCCAGTTGTATGCCCTGATCGTGGAGGGGAACTATGGGTAGAGCTGAAGTCTGGTGATGTGCTTCAAGGGGTGATCGCGGAACGGGAGGTGTCGACCAAGAAGATGTATGGTCAGCTGATGCCGCTAGAATCCGGTCGCTGCTTGAAGTTTGGCCCACAGCGACACCATGAAGTGGCACAGTGGGAAGGAGTTCGAACTGTCCTGATTGCCTACACGCCGGATTGCCTAGGAAAGCTGTCACAAGAAGACCTAGAGGTGCTACATGATCGGCTTTTGGATATTGGGATGTGGGGTTTTGAAGCTTGCGATTCGGGTTTCACAAGCCCTGACGGTCAAAGTCATTGGGGCATTTGCGGGTTGGATCCTGCGTATGACACACAGAGACTCAGCACACATACAACAACTTACATTATTTAAATCGCTGTAAACTGGATTGCAAGCCAAACGAGATGGCTGCAATCAGTATTCCCTGGCCCTAGCTCCGGCGAAAGTCTTACGGAGACACGTCGGGCCATGCTGCGTGCGTGTTCTTGCGAACAAAAAAATGTTTGTTTGTGCGGCAGGGAGGACTGGTGGCATGCTGGCTTTCAGCGGTGGTTACCTTACTTTTTTTGCAAAGAAGGACTCGTGGGTTGGGAAAGAAGCTCCTGGGCACCAGCCTGCGAGTTGCGATCAGTCCTTTTGCAAAGAAGGACTCGTGGGCACCGGTCTGCGAGTTTCGACAAGCACGTGGACACAGAGATGGCCGGCTACAGGGCTGGACGAGTGCTGCCGGTTCTTGGCCGCCCTGACTGAGCCTTGTGTTGGGGAAGGGCTGCGACGGTTGAGGGAGGCATCAATGTTGTGGTGTAACTTCCGGGACGAGACTATGAGGTCCTTGCCAGCTCCGCGTGGTTTGAGGTGGCAGCAAGGTCGAGCTATCACATCGTGGTGGACCATGAGAGATAGTTGCGGGAAGGTGTGCGCGGTGATAGTCGTGTACGTGGACGATTACCTTATATGTGGACCGAGGGACATTGTCATGGAAATCAGTGGCATTATCCAACATGTGTGGGATTACATTTTTGGGCCCGGGAAGTGACGTGAGGTTTTTGGGAATGGAGCTACGTCGTGAGTCAGAGACCTCGGAGGAGATTTATGTGCTACAGCAGGGCTACATTCAGGAACTACTTCGCTTTCACGAAGTTAAGAGCACCCAGCGCGACAAGGTGCCAATCACCAAGGACCTGGCTACTGTACCAGATAAAGAAGAAGACCATGATGATGAGATGGTTCGCAGAGCTCAGCAGATCACTGGTGAGGTAGTATGGGTGGCTCAGAGGACACGTCCGGATGCATCTTACGCGACATCCATGATGGCGTCTATGTGCTCTAAATTTCCAGGACAGGTGTTGCAGATTGGCCTCAAGACACTTGGTTACTTGCAACGCACCATGGACTATGCGCTGGTGATCAAGTGGGAGGAGAAGGGCTTAGTCATGTACTGCGATGCAGCCTACGCACCACAGGGACTACCATCTCATGGTGGATGGGTCGTTACCTACGGAGGAGCTCCGGTGGTGTGGAGGAGCGGGAAGCAGAGTATGATCACGCTCTCTACGGCAGAAGCAGAGCTGTTGGCGATGCTCGATGGCCCGTGGCGATGAAGGGTGTGGAGGCGATCCTTTCAGATGCCGGTGAGCAGGTGACGTTTCGCCAGATTGCATCGGACAGTACGTCGGCTTTGAGTATTTCAGGTGGAACAAGTTCGTGGAGGACCAGACACCTACGAATAGAAGCGGCGTGGTTGCAGGAACAACGAGCACATGGACAGCTGGAAACCGTTCACTGCCCTGAAGAACGTCAACCAGCCGATCTACTAACAAAAGCACTTTCATCAGCGAGAACAGATGACCTTCTACGTTGGTGGAAAGTGAAGGAGTATGGGGCAAAGGTTGTGTATTCGTTGACGGTGCCTACGGTGTCCACAAGATTGCTGGTTGCTATGGTTTGCTGCGTACTGGTGGTGTCAGTTCAGGCCGCGGAAGAAGAAGATCGACCCCGTGCAAGAAGAGGACAAGGCCTACAGGTCGATTGGGACCTGGCGGGAGCTATGATGTTCCTACTTATGCTACTGGGTGGACTCATGGTTTGGGAGGCGGTGCGCTGGTGCTGCCTGGAGTTCTATCGAGAAAGTTGAGGCGACTGAGGAAGCTTCAGCTCGCAACTACGACGGCTATTGAGCAAGAACTGTTGAGACTACAGCAGTCGGAAGGTGATGGACCACAAGTACCACAACCATCATCGTCGTCGTCTGGGAGATCCATATACCCTAGTGAGCCTCTGCAACAGCAGAGGGATGAGGCGCAACCCTCTACGAGCCAGTCAGGCTCTAGAGAGCATGAGCTAAGGAGAAGGTCAGTTACCCCGCGACAAAGAACACCAACACCACCACGGAGGTTGTCCTCACCCAGAATTACATCAAGCCCGTGGACGCCTGGTACAAATCACGATGTACCCCTAGGTGAACTTCATCGAGTATGTGAAGACGTGTGCAAATTGATGACGTGCGAGTGCCTAAAGGAAGGACTGAGGACAGAAGGGCTGCAAGGATCCGGTCTGAAAGAGGATTTAGCTCGGCGACTTTGTGCCCGAATGGCAGAATTAGCTGGAAGTTCTCAGAGTCCAACGGTTCGCCAGTGGAAATACGTTTTGTGGCTGTGGCGTCACAAAGATCTACAAGGCCGACACGTTTTGCACTACTACGAAGTGAACAACAAGGAGCGTACATCGGCCCTGATCCATCAGTGGAACCGGTGACAGATTATCAGGCGTACCGAGCGGCATGCCTGAGGAGGAGTGCAGAAGAGCATGATCTGCCAGTGCCGATGAGAGTGTTCATGTGAGATCTGTCAATGCCGATGGAAGTTTACGTGTGTGACCGTGACTTAATGTTGTGGCTTCAATGGAGGCTACGAAAGAAAGCCCTTGAGCTTGTCTGTGATGTAAAGCATAGCAATCACAACAGAGAAGCAGCATTGTACACCCAAGCGTCTCAGAGATTGCAGATCACAGCGTACGTTGCTTGTTTGGAGAAAAAGGTAGCTCTTCGCGCCCGGGCATGGTCGTTTACTGCTGGGCATAAGCCGTTTTCTAAAAGTTTTGTTGGTGCTGTACACAACTCAAAAGCATCCTTCGTCACCCCTCACACAAGCGCCTGCATGCGCAGACTGGATATGTAACTGAAACTCATGGACTCATGCCCATTGAGCCATCATGTTACAGTCCGAAAGCCGTGGCAGCTGCTCCGGGAGTGTGGCAGGAGATGTTGCTTGCGACAATAGAGGATCTCGCTGCCGTCGTCTCAGGTGATCGCCCACTAAGAACCGTTGCTTCGACACCGACCAGGAACGTAAGTCCACAGACGGAGCCATCCAGGCTATGCGAAGCACTGGCACGATTGGATTTGAGATAGCTGGGCATGCTAAGGCGAAGGCGCCCGCGGCCTCCGTGGAGGACCTGCGCCAAAGTGGGCTCGCACCCCCGGAGTCTGGAAAGCTCTACATACGATTCTACTCAGTCAATCTTTGAAGGTTTGAGCAGTGAGGGAGCAGGGCGAGGGAGAAGGGGAACGGAGGTCGTGATGCATGCAGGAGTTGCCACGTTTTTGCCCGCAGGATGTGCCAGCAGAGCGAGCTGCACAGGCAATAGGGACATGCCACTTTCCAATGCCGTTTCAGGACTTGGAGGTCGAGGTTTATTCATCCGAGCGTGATTGGCAAATTGCGAGGGCTTGACTATGCAAGGGAGTGAGAAAGCCTGCCCGGTCTGGGAATGGTTTTAGATATAAGCAACCTGTGACGTAAGGTCCGAGCAGGGACCGATGTTCTGTTGGTCCACTGATGCGGACTTGTCCCCACTCCTCTCTGCTGTCGAGTGCTTCGGACTGAAGGCAGCGACAATGATTTAGGCTCCACAGAAGGATCTGAGCTGGACAGAACCCCCTGTACCAACACGCAACCTGCGACCCGGAAACAGTCTCTTCGTTGCTTGGCAGGTTTGTTGGCTTGAGAGGATTGGACGGTCTCCGGGCTCTCCTAGCCCCATGCTTCTGCAGGCACCGACGCGGCGGCGCCGCCGACGGAAGGTGCAAGCGGCGGCTCCGGCTGCCGAAGAGGCGGGCGACTTTGAAAACAAAGTGCACCATGGCAGGCATGAGCTTTCCAGGGATGTGTCCTGCGCTCCGAAGAGTTTTGGCAAATGTTAGTAATATTTCCATAGCGTGAGTTTCAAAACTGCTTGACACAAGTAAAGTAAGTGGACACCTGCGGCCTCCTCTTGCTGTGCCAAACCCCGTGTGGCAAACACCACCGCACCAGTCCAAGCCGACCGCGAGTTTCAGCTTGTTTTTGTCTCGCTCTTGTCTTCAGGTCAGGGGTTGAAAGGACATGTTCATGGTGGAATCTAAACCTCAAGGGTGTTTGGTACTCGGTGGTCTCGTTTTCTCGTCCCACTGGGTTTGAATTACGACGTGCGTACCAGCAGCTACCAGCTTTTTGATTCGTGGTCGCGGAAGATGCCGAAGCCCGTCAGTCTTCTTTCACTGCTTGTCAGGAAGTGCCTCCGAAAGAGGCAGATGAACCTGCTGAGGTCCGTCTGACGGATAAGTGGATCGAAGTGCCGCAGTCATTTCCTTTGTGGTTTCTTCACCTTCACAATCATTATCGAGTTTGGACGGATGTTGATGTCTCATCTAGTTTCCGAGAGGTCGGTCGGTTTCCAGGGACTTTTGCGAAGTAGAGCTCAAGACACGGGCTGGCCACTTCTGCCCCTTCGGATTACAGGAGGCTTACAAGTTTTGAGGCGAAGTGATATCCAGTTTTTTTATCCTCGTCGACGGTCGCTTCGTTTTGTCCACTGCTTCGGTTGGACTTGAACATCTTGAGTTGATTGATGAGATTGTTCATGCATTTTGGGCGTTCCTGAATTCCTAAGCTTGCACGAGGTCAGTAAAGCAGCCATCGCAACGGTTTCCTGCTTCGAGAGATCTGTCCATAGCCAGGCCGATGCAAAGTATGGCGATCTCATCCGTTCCGTCTACCAGCGGCACAACCCGGCCAAGCTGGGGGAGGTGGTAGCCGTGGTGGGTCATGGGCTGGAATCGTCTCGCACATTTTCTTGGTTGACGTTCAGATTCGCTGTTTCGGAAAGCCAGCAGTGCTTCTGCCGCTCTCTGCTCGCCTTCCCATAGCGCTTGCAATGCAACACTTAGGGAACGAGTGTCCTTGAACAGTAAACAGTGCCTAGCCCATCTCACCGCTGATACCTCCGTTCCCTTGAGAAAGTTTAGGAATCGTAGGCGGAGTCGCGTTCAACTTTGAACATCATGTGGAAAAAGCACGCGCTCAGTTACTCGGATTGAACATGCCTGCGAAGCCTTGTCAAGATTCCGAGATGGAGTGACGCAATGATGATGGCCTGACCAGGTGGAGTCGCTATTGGAGAAGTATACAGCTCAGCTCGCTACATCGCAGGACCAAAAAGCTTCAGTTCAGTGCTGAAAGGTGAGCTCAGAGCAAGATTTCTCGAATCTACTTGGTGATGGAGCTTTGCCAGTCGGCAGTCGGCAGCCTCTTTTGAAGTCGTTGGCGTCCCAACTCCGGCGCCAAGGTACAAAGGCATGGAGGCTGCGTTGTACCAGAAAGTGCGGCCCTGAGTTCCGATGCTTGCGCACTGGAACGTAGTTTTTGTTGCTCAGTCTACATGATCCTTTGCTTCTGCGGCGGTCCTAGGCTGTCGAAAGCCTTTCTCAGGTTTGCGAGAAATACTCGGAGCGTCCACAGGACCAGTCGCCTGCCTGCGCTGGTGTTTGGTTGCTGACCTGGCGGAACCTGCTGGTCCGCACTACTGTGTGGTTCTAGAAGACCGGGTCTGTGGCGTGTGCGTCACGAGGCACACAGGAAGGTACGTTCCAGGCGCTTGACTCATTGACATCGTTGGACCAGCTGTCTGCGGACACGACCGCAGGACGTCGAAGCTGTGGCGATCTCAGCTTCTGCAGCACGGACGAGAGCACCGATGCTTCAGCAAGGGGACAGTACCTGTCAGCCTGTCAGCTGCTCGCCTCCGGAGGGCCCTGCCCAGCTGCTGGCTACTGCCTGGAGTGAAGATTGTCGGTCTAAGGCCCCTCTGAAAATTGGGGGACATTGCCACGTGCAAATCAGAGTTTCATTAGACGGCTCTTGGAGAAGATTCGGCTAGACGAAGTTGGTTTCAAGCAAGGCTTCGCCTGCTGCGGACGGTGGCTGGGAGCTTGGTTCAATTTTCTGCAATAAAGTTGCAGTCTGCTTTTTGCACTTGTTGGTATAGATACGATCGTTCGATTGGGAAGGCTTGAAGAAAGCATCGTCTTGTTGTTGGATCCCACGTGAGGTTTGCAAAAGCATTTAAGTAGTGTCAACTTGACAGCTCCACAGCCTTGCGCACTGGCCGGCGTCATGTTATTGTTTAAAGTTGAGAGTCATGACGGCTGGGATGGAGAAGGGCTCGATGATACCCCTCCGGGTAGGATGCTCGTTTTTGCTTTAAGACGGATCAAGGAAATCGGGAGTTGTGCACCAAGGCCCCCCCCGAGGCTTCGCCAAGAAGGCCTGCACGAGACGTCAGGGTTCCATTTCGGAAGACTTAAACCCCCTGATTTCAGGTTCGGGCTCGAATGTCGCACAAGGGAAGATGTTCCTGAGGCGTGCTAGCTGGCTGAATGGGACTTGCAATGACTTGCACATGGACAGAGCTACAAGTAGCGACGAATAACATTACAGCAGGGCGAGCGCGCCTACTCCTCATGCGTTGAGTCCACGTGTCACAGGTGAGGATTTCCGTTTTGGGTCTTGGGTAGCTGGTTCTGCGTGAAACCAATGGTACTTCAGAAGCTGAGGTTGTACAGTAGCTTGTCGCTGTTAGAGCAATTGAAATTAGATTTCAATCAACATTAAAGCTCACCCACCACTCATCAAATTTTATATTCCTTGTTGGGCACCACTATTGGCAATCATCTTGCTCTCATTGACGGTTGAGTATCGGCGCCAAGCAATGACAGTGCCGAGCATTGTCGATCAGTTCTGTGTAGCAGTTGCGTTTGGGCGAGCTTCCTTTCTGTTCAGTTGAGATGAAACTGGTTGCTGAACTGGTTGCTGAGAT